ACTTGAAACAGAAAATGTACAGTGATTCCAATGTAATCTTATTAAAAAAAGGTACTATTCCTTACTACTTCCCTCCCCAAAAAGCACTAGGAAATAAAACCAATTATACTGAACAAATAAAAACAAAATGTTTTCGTTGACAATACAGTACCAAGTTTTGTAATTTTCCATCAAAATATTCAAGGTCTTACATCAAAAAAATAAATTATAGAATTAACAATTGCAGATTTGAAAAATAACTTGTCTCCTGATGTTTTATGTTTCACTGAAACTTTTATAAAAAATGGTGAGGAAAAGATCATTCATATATATAACTATGAATTAGCAGCCTACTTTTCAAGAAACAAAAAAAGAGGGTGGACCTGCATACTGGTTAAAAAAGGGATATCATATAAAAAATATATGTTTAGGTAACGATCTAGCAGTTAACTTTCACTTTGAATGCTGTTCCATTCAGGTCCCCATGTGTGATATAATTATCTTGTGTGTCTACCGAACCTCCACGGCTACAAAAAAGAGCAACTTTGAATGTTTCTTTGAAACACTAGAACTCCTATTAAATAAATATATTCTTAAATATCCAAAGTATAAGATAGTTATTGTAGGAGATTTAAATATAAATACATTGCTAAATAATAATGTTACGAAAAATTTATTTGACATATTAAAAAACTATAATTTGACTCAACATATAACTAAACCCACTAGAGGCTTATCTTGTATTGACCATATATTTAGTAATGTAAGAAATGCTACAGGATTAACTCTTCCTCTTTGTCTGTCTGACCATGATACTGCCCAAGTGCTGGTTATTAAAATAAAAAAGAAACCAATGATTCCAAGAGTAATTAATTTTTAGAGATGCTATTCAACTGAAAACATTAAAAAGTTTAAATCAATTATAGCAAATCCATCATTTATTGAAATGTATAATGAAACAAATCCATATGTGGCCTTCAATGTTTTTTATGACTGGTTTTGTTTATTATACAAGCTATGCTTTCCTTTCTCTAAATTCAAAATCAATACAAAATCAAAATTAAATTGGATATCCAAAGGAATTAGGAAAAATTGTGCTAAAAATAGATTTCTCCGCCAAGACTTCTACAAAAAAAGAAATACCGATGCTAAAATTAAATATCAGAAATACTCCAGATTGAAGAAAATATAACTAGAAAAAATTCCACGCGGACCAGGCAGCAGACGGGACTCGAACCCGCACCCTTCGCAATCCGGGCGAATGCACTGACCAATTATGCTACCGCGGCCCTCACGGACCGCGTCGAAATTCTTCTAGCCATTCTTAAACTGCAAGGCAGCGCCATCTCTTCGCATTATAGGTAACCCACAATGTCAAATGAATACTTTTACAAGTATTAAACATTTGAAAGAAGTAATAGCAATTATAGTTATAAATTTTATTATTTTTAAAGCATGTAACTGCTTGATGTTTAAATCTAAAGAAAATATAACTAGAAAAAATTCCACGCGGACCAGGCAGCAGACGGGACTCGAACCCGCACCCTTCGCAATCCGGGCGAATGCACTGACTAATTATGCTACCGCGGCCCTCACGGACCGCGTCGAAATTCTTCTAGCCATTCTTAAGCTGCAAGGCAGCGCCATCTCTTCGCATTATAGGTAACCCACAATGTCAAATGAATACTTTTACAAGTATTAAACATTTGAAAGAAGTAATAGCAATTATAGTTATAAATTTTATTATTTTTAAAGCATGTTTTTCTTTAGATTTAAACATCAAGCAGTTACATGCTTTAAAAATAATAAAATTTATAACAATAATTGCTATTACTTCTTTCAAATGTTTAATACTTGTAAAAGTATTCATTTGACATTGTGGGTTACCTATAATGCGAAGAGATGGCGCTGCCTTGCAGCTTAAGAATGGCTAGAAGAATTTCGACGCGGTCCGTGAGGGCCGCGGTAGCATAATTGGTCAGTGCATTCGCCCGGATTGTGAAGGGTGCGGGTTCGAGTCCCGTCTGCTGCCTGGTCCGCGTGGAATTTTTTCTAGTTATATTTTCTTTAGATTTAAACATCAAGCAGTTACATGCTTTAAAAATAATAAAATTTATACTCCAGATTGCTTAGGAAGTGCATATTGCAAGCTAAAAAACAAAGCAACAACAAATACGTACTTAGGAGTATAAATACTTGTAAAGCTACGTGGAAAATAATACAAGATGAATTTGACAGCAAATCACAAAGTAATAATTTTATAGACTCAATTGAATATCGGAATAATATTATCAATAGCCCTGACAAAATTGCGACCATTTTAATGATTATTTTATTGAATTGACTAATAAATCTAATAATATTAATAATAATGAATCCTGTAATGACACTTTAAACAATTCTATATATCTCACCGCAATTGACGTACATGACGTAAAACAAATTATTACATCTTTAAACAATACAAATTCAGTAGGTTATGACGACATTTGCACGAAAGTTATAAAGGCATGTAAAGAGGAAATCAGCCATGTTTTAGCTTTCTTAATAAACATGTCATGAACATCTGGTATATTTCCAGATAAGCTCAAATTGTCAATAGTGAAACCATTGTTCAAAAAGGATAATAAGGCTAAAATAGACAATTATCGACCTATTACGCTGATACCTATCTTATCTAAGATCTACGAAAAAGTCATGCACGCCAAACTTACTTATTTTTTTGATAAATATCATGTATTAAAGCAAAATCAGTATAGATTTCAAAAAAATAAATCTACTACTCATGCTGTTTTTGACTTAGTTAAGGAAACCATGTTAAGCCTTAATGATAATAAATACACAACAGTTGTCTTTTTTGATATGTCGAAAGCATTCGATTTTGTACGTCACGATTTACTACTGTCAAAATTGGAGCACTGTGGTATCAGAGGCGTTGCATTTAAATGGATACGTTCTTATTTGGGGAACAGAAAACAATCGGTTGAAATCTCACAACTAGACCGAAACCAGATAGTTCAAACATATCAATCAAATTTTAGAGAGAATAATTTTGGTGTTCCACAAGGAAGTGTTTTGGGGCCGCTCTTCTTTTTGGTATACTCTAATAAGCTTCCAGAAGTAACTGAACATCATTGCATTCTTTTTGATGATGACATATCAGTGGTAATAACAACTGATAGTAAAATGACAATAGACGACCATATAAATGACATTGAAAAAACAATTGGATTAATTATAAATTGGCTTCAACATAATAATTTAACTATTAATATTAATAAAACGTGTTACATAAATTTTAATAGTTCCATTGGTCAGTCATTGAATATAAATTACCACGGACAAAAGCTTAAAAATGCAAATACAACCAAATTTTTAGGCATAGAAATTGATCAAAAATTAGACTGGAAAACACATGTGGATACTATATGTAATAAAATTAACCGTTTTATGTTTGCTCTCTATAAGTTGACGAAAATAGCTACAAGGAATACTGCTCTTACAGCCTATTTTGCGTATGTAGAATCAGTTTTAAGATATGGTATCGTTATATGGGGAAATAGTATAGAAGCAAAAAGGGCTTTCATTACACAAAAAAAATGTATCAGAGCTATATGTGGAACTCCGCCTGATGAACCATGCAGACCATTATTTAAACATTTAAAAATATTACCATTGCCTTGCCTGTACATTTTTGATGTTGCTAAATTTGTAAGGTTAAATATGCACTATTTCAGGCAAGCTGTAGATATATATCCACGTAATACACGAAATGGTAATAGATTGGTTTCTGCAATCATTCCAAAAAGCATGAGATTCAAAAAAAAATGTTATTGGATGTGTATGCAAATTTACAATAAGTTACCAACTTATATACAAAAGATGTTTTTTAAGAAATTTAAGACTGCCTTGTACAGTTGGCTATATGATAGGATGTTTTACAGTGTTAAAGAATATTAATGTAATGATTGCAGCTAGTGACAGTAGGTTTTAGGTTTTATTATTTGTATTCTGCACTTGGTTGACATTTTTATTCTATTGTATTCTGATTGTCATTTTATTCTATTGTATTTTGTTTGACATTTTATCCTATTGAATTTTGATTGGCATTTTTTTCTATAATTGACATTATTAATCGACTATCTTATATACATAATACATAAATTATATACATAAATTAAGACAGTTGTAATTTTGCTGACGATAATATAATGTAATTCGCTTTTAAGAATTTATTAATGGTATGTGAAATTGATGGCATAATGATTATTAATAATATTAATGTAATTAATGCAATGTTAAATATTTGCATGCTATTGTAAATGGCAGAATGGGCCGAACTTTATATTTGTAACATCTCCAGTGTATCCCTATTCTTATGCAAATAAATTAATTCTAATTTAAAACTCTATTAACACTCTACTATTTTAAATTCTAATACTTATTATCTTTCATTTTTAGTTGGCAATTCCGGCAACCAAAGTTACTTTAGGGAGTCAAAAACGATATAACTTTAACCCCTTACACATCCAGTAGCCTCAAATTCAGGCGACTTGTTTCTAAATCCTACCCAAATCGAATAATATCATACGAAAAAACATTTTTAATTTACTTACTTTTATTTATCAATAACCAAATCGTTATCGTTGCCCCTCAACTAACAGACAAGATAACTATAAAAGTAATTATTATGAAACTTCCATTTAATTACTTACTGTAAAACTAACAAATGAACGATGATTGATACTGTTACCTGCAATTATCAGCTGTTATTTCTATGCCTACATATAGGTAATTGCATGTTATAATGCTTATGAAACGTCAAGTTATATCATATTGTGTCGTATCGTTCGGTAAAGGGTTGTTATTCAGATTATTCTAGAATGAACTAACTCAACTTTTAAGTAGCTATTGCTCATCGTGCATTACGAATGCTAAAAATTAAAATAACAGTAATAATATTTATCAAAATTTTATTAATTAAATAAATAAAACACACTCCCAAAAGATCCCTATCAAATTTACAATGCAGATAAATAATACATCACTACCTGAACACCCATATACATGTTGATGACATACGGTATACCGAACGCTATACCTCTTGCCGGCTGCGGCATCGGTATCACAGCGTACACAATAGTGTGGATAATCCTTCCAATAGCGAAGACGCGAAACAAAAGTCTGGCCCAAGCGACCGCCGGGGATGTGGTCAAATACAGCGCAGCGAGGATCCAAAAGGCTGGTATATTCTCAAGGTCGTTCAAATGAGCGCGACGTACTCTCTCCACGTCTGGATCGTCTAATTTCACTTTGCTGTTCTTCAATGCTTTGGCGTCCTCTTCATTGGCGAACACTTTTTTCGAGATACGCACTCGGGCCGTCAGGAAGGTCACTATTAACAATTTCACTGCCAGTACAGCTGAATAGAATATGTAAGATTGCACCAACGGGTCTTTCAGTGAAATTTCCATGATCTCTTGTATATTTTTATCACCACAAATGAGAAGTTACGTCTTAACTTGTTTGCCGGTAGAGACAGAATACTACTAAATGAGTGCCGTGAGTCGACTCGCCGGCCGGGCGCGGCCCATCAATGTTGTTGTAGGTTTTTATCGAAATGTCTCGTCATGCAACTCGGCGCTCTGGCTCTGTCGTCATTCCCCTCATACATATTGCTACCTCGCTCACATTTCTTTTCATAGCTTTTTAAAACTATGATATATTAGTACGATATGAATATTTTACATTTCAAACATTAACGGGATGGGACGTATAAAGTTTATCATAATTTAAAAAACCCACAACAGCACTTCTAAAGATAACTCATCGTTTATAGCAAAGCGACCGTTCGCGTTTGCATTGGCTTCCATTGAAGTTTTTGTATGCGCCTCATTTGTTATAAGTCATATATGATACGTGGATGTATGCTGAAACTATATACCTAACTAGTTTCATCGAAACAATAACTGTAAAGACGATATCGCATGTTGGGTACGGAGACGGGGGCTCAACAAGTTAAAAACTGCCAAATTATTTATTCTTCATATTTAAAACTTCATAATGTTTAATTTTCTTATTGCAATAAAATAATACCTGTAATAAGGTGAATATAAGGTTCAAATTATACAAACCACAAGCCCGCTGGTGATAATTTTGCTTTATAAAAGTAATATTATGTGATAGTGAATTGTTGAGTCATGATGACATTTTATCGTGCGTTTGGTACAAAAAACAACAGGATAAAAACTACCTAGGTTTGTCGATATTCTTAAATTTTTTGCAAGTCATCAGTTTTATCGACAGATTTTGTGACGACATCATGATTAGAAAAAAATATGATAATGGTAAGACAATGATAAAGTCGAAAGTTTAATCACGTAATGCTATTTTTAACCTAATTATGGATACTTTTCAGAAGTTATTTTAAATAAGTGGATTCTCATTATTTCTTTTCTCGCATAAGAGTGAATTGATTAGAAAATGGTTTATTGTGAATGCTTTTATAAAAAAATTACCACCTGTTTGGAACAAGTGTTTGGTACGCCCGGGTTTTTTGGTGTCGCTACTCTCGAAGTCCTGATTTTGAATCCTGGTGGTGCAAATGTTTGCATGATGAATACGAGTATTTTGTACATCAAAAAGGTCAACAAAATTCAAGTTAAAGTCATGGATATTTATACGTACTTTTATTAAATATACTCGGTAAATTTATGTATATTTATTTTATTATATGATTTAGTAGATATTATAAATAAATAGAAATAAAAGCTTTTAAGAAAACGTAACGCAATATAGGTAGGTTTAGGTATAATATATATTTATTTTGATGAAAATAAACTAAAATTTCAATCAGATAATTGGTTTAATGACATCATTACCTGTTGTCATAGAAACACATAAAAATTAAATACTTATTTAGGTATTTATTATTTCTGGATCACGTCGGTCGGAGCCGCCACTGCAGGAAAGCCAGCAGTCAGTCCTTTTGGCCTAATAATCTAAAACTCTGCAACACGTCGTTTTTTTACATTTAGCAATCTGTTTAAATGGAATATGAAACTTTTTTACACTTTTCACATAATTTTGCTGATCTTATGGGTTCTTAGCGCAGAAAATAGTTCAACAATACTTCAGAGTTTGCGTGGCCCAGGTTATACTAGTGCACACAGTGTGCTTAGATGTCTAGTCTTCGGGTATTCAGTTTTTCTTCCAATCTTTGTCAAAAGTTATCGAAAGGACAATGAAGTCATCATCATCTTCGTTTAAGTTAAAATCCTTCAGCGTAATGTATGATTATGTTCACGCCCATGTAAACGGTGAGGAGGAATGGTATAGTGAAGACGATGGCTCTCGTCGGTTGTGGTAGAGGCTTCACCGCGTACACGATTGTATGAAGGAACCTCATGGCAGTGTAAGTTCTAAACAAGAGAGTGGCGACGGAGGCGCTCGGGCCTGTCGTGACGAATATCGCACCGAGAATCCAAAATACTGGAATATTCTCCAAGTCGTTCAGGTGGGCTCGACGCGCCCGCTCCACTTCGGGGTCATTCACCTTCACTACGCCTCCTGAGTACCTCGCGTCCTCTTCGTTAGCGAACACCTTTCGCGTGTATCTTGCCTTCGATGTCAGCAAAGCGGTTCCCAACAATTTCAGACCGAGTACGCCGGAGTAAAAGAGGTACGAACGAATCACCGGGTTGTCTAAAGAAACGGGAGCCATTTTTAGTTAACACTAAGGTTGCCACGACTGTACTTTCGCTACCGTAAATGCATAACTGAATGAGTTTATGCACTTCTTTATGGTTGAGTTGTTTGAGTTGCCAGTGTGCGAAGAGTGGGTTTTGAGATTTTCGCAATGTAGATTCTACTTAATTTTAAATGATTATCGTGTCAATTAAAATCATATCATAAAAATAATATTCAAATTTTATATTAATGTAAAACATTTGTTCACTATTCAACCAGCGAACGCCTCTTAAGTTTCCATGCTGTTTTGTATATTGGCTTGTAAGACAGAAATAAATACTAGTTAGGGATATAGACCAAGGTCGATAATTTTAAAAATGGTGAAAAGTGAAAAAAAATTATAGTACGATGAAACCCATTAGAAAAGGTAGAGAATATAACAAAAATGAAAGGAAAAATAAATTACGGGCGATCTGAGGTCGGGAAGGGGGAGGGGGTGAGTTTTTAAGGGTAAAAAATGGTTAATCTCGATTTCCGATAAAACTGCAAGTCCTATGAAAAAATTTAAATGGCAAAGTTGTAGGTAATAAAAAGATCTACAACTTTTGTATCGACACTTTTTTCACATAACCTCAAAATTTATGTGAAAAATGCGAATAACCGAGTTTTTGGTTTTTGATTTTTTTTTTTGAAAAAAAAAATATTTTTTCACGAAATTTGGTGAAAACTTACCTTTGTATGTCCCAAACATACAGTATTTTTTTTGATTTAAAATATTCATTTTTTTACCTTATTTTGACTTAATATCGAAAAAGCACCCTAATTTTCAAACGAAAATTCTCACGTCAAAATATCTGATTTTTTTAAAAAAGTTGGGGTGTTTTTTGTTTGTTGAAATCTCTACTTTCTGATGGTATAAAAATACACTACTATGATAAATGTTCTCAGAAAATGCAAATTAATAATGAAAAAAACTCGAATCCCAGAAACTCGACCCGGCGAACTTCGTACCGCTTAATTTGCTTAGAAGAAATGAAAACTATCCGTTCGACAGGAACGCAGCTTATTCAGCAAAATATTATATACTTAATCAGAAGGGTTGTCAACCCCACTATATAATATAGTATCCTACTATATTAGGAGATCAAAAACTATATTTCTAAAAAAATATATAGAAGGCGAAACTACTATATTTTGCTGAAAGCGGATATTTCCCAGAAAAAGCTTTCATAAAAATAAAAAAATAATAATTAGCAATGAGCAGCAAAAATTTATTTATTTCAAAAATAAAGTCAATATTTTAACCACATACTATATTTTTCTCCATTTTTAGGGTTCCGTACCTCAAAAGGAAAAAACGGAACCCTTATAGGATCACTTTGTTGTCCATCCGTCCGTCCGTCCATCTGTCAAGACCGTTTTTCTCAGGAACGCGTGAACTGAAATTCATATCTAATATTTTGATTGACATTTTATCCTAATGAATTTTGATTGGCATTTTATTGTATAATTGACATTATAAATCGACTATCTTATTTTGTTAGCTTTTCAATAATTTAGATTGACATAAATTAAGACTAAACTGACAGTTGTAATTTTGCTGACGATAAAATTTATTGTAATTCGTTTTTTGTAGTTTTTTAAGAATTTATTATTGGTATGTGAAATTGATGGCTTAATGATTATTAATAATATTAATGTAATTAATGCAATGTTAAATATTTGCATGCTATTGTAAATGACAAAATGAGCCGACCTTTATATTTGTAACATCTCCAGTGTACCCCTTTTTTAATGCAAATGCAAATAAATAAATTCTAATTCTACTCCCTTTGAGCTGTGAAAAAAAAACTTCTAAGCCAATCAAAAGATACAGCCGTTTATGCCGCAAATTTTCGAAACTCGCACGGGAATCAAAACCTACAGGCACGGTAATATTATCTATTATTACCGTGCTACAGGGTACTTCCCGTGAACTTAGAATCTTGAAGTTTGGTACGAAGTAATGTCTTATAGTACAGATAAAGGAAAAATTGCGAAAACCGTAAATTTTTAGTTACATCATATAATAAAAAATATTTTTAATAATTATTAAAATATACCGTACACCGTATACTGTACCGTACCGTACAGGTTTGTACGGAACCCTCGATGCGCGAGTCCGACTAGCACTTGGCCGTTTTTTTTTTACTATGTACTATATTTTTAAAGGTACCAGCTTCGAAAAACTATATTTGGTAGAAAAAAAGTTGGTAACTAATCGCATCACAAGCGCGCGACTGTTAGAGGAACGTGCTAGCGAAGTGGCATGACATGAACTGGATTACTTCTATAGGGTTTTTCAATAAGAACTTTGTTTGCTGCCTGGACCGCGTGGATTTTTTCTAGTTATATTTTCTTTAGATTTAAACATCAAGCAGTTACATGCTTAAAAAAATTGTAAGAACTTTGTTTTCTAAAACAAAATAAAATAAAAAGATGGTTAAAATTTTTATTGAATTACAAAGAGAAAAGTTCGGCAATTATGAATGAAAAATGATATCTGGCAAATGTCCACCACGAGCACGCTAACAGATGTCGATTCTTTCATCAAAGTTTTTAATCACTGTTTGGCAAAATGGCGGGACTATTTCGTTAATCACATCACGGATTTTGAGTTTTAAGGCTGCCATCGATTTAATTGGTCCCGTATAGACTCTGTCCTTAACATAACCCAACAAAAAATAATTTAGTGGTGTTAAATCGAATCGGAAACGATCTCGCCTTGCCCACACCGAATCTCACGGTCTTTCAAAATAGCGCCTACTACATGGCAATTAAAGTTTATAATCATTTGCCTCATTCCTTAAAGACCCTCCAGGGTAAAAAGTTTGAGCCTGCACTAAAGAATTTTTTACTATGTAAGACATTTTATATAATTAATGAATATTTTAGTGAAAAGTTTTAAATTTTTGACATTTGCATTATATTTTGAACAATTGTTTTTTTTTTGAAATGTGTTATACAAGATTGAAAATTTGTTATGTGGAACGTTTTATAATTATGACTGTAGATCTACCTATTTAGTATTAAGTTTTAAATTTTGACATTTGCATTATATTTTTGACAATTGAATTAATTTTTAAATGGTTGATTGAAAATTTATTAATGTTGGAACGTTTTATAATTATGACTGTAGATCTAGCTACTTAGTTTTAAGTTTAAAATTTTGACATTTGCATTATATTTTGGACAATTGAATTAATTTTTACAATATGTTATACAGTATTAAAAATTTATAATATTGGAACGTTTCATAATTATGACTGTAGATTCTATCTATTTAGTTTAGGATTGTTACAATACCCTAACTGGGTTCTTGTTTGGATTGATATATATGTATATATTTTTGTAACAGCATGTAAACAACAAGAATGCAATAAATGAATATGAATATGAATCACATGATCTGGCTGGCCTCTTAACAGCTGAATTTAGTGAAATTATGCGATCGGGAAATTTGGTTTGCAATAAATTGATCGTTTCATTGGCTGTGCGACATGTGGCGCCGTCCTGTTGAAACCACATATTAGTGATATCCACGTCATCAATAATAGGTCAAAATTCGCCTTTTGGTGGTTCTGGATAACCCCAATTGTTGAGAACGTCGCGGAATTGACAAATTTGGATCTGCTTCAACATTGTGGCTCACGGCTGCGATGCTTTCATTGAACGACCCGGTGAAACACGCGTTGGTGTTGGCACATTTTGTATCGAGCCTGTCGACTCAAATTTAACGACCAAATTCTTAATAGCGGTCTCAGAAGGACGATTATGTTGTCCGAAAATATCACGAATTTGACAAAATGTAACTGTAACAGAACCACTATTTTCATAGTGGAGGTTAATTAATTTAATTCGATTTTCAAGCGAAATTGAATTCATTGTAACAATTGCCAGTGTATCTACTACGAATACGTCAAAAAAGTAAATGTCAAAACTATCATATTGTTGGTGTAGCCACAATTGAAAAACAAAGTTCTTGTTGAACAATCCTGTAGTAGCCGTTTGTTACGATTTGGGTTTTCGCGGATCCCTTAATTTTTTGACGTTATTATGTACACTCCGACAGTAGACGTTAAAGTACATACTTACCAGCCCGCTAAATATATGCACATACATGTTTGTGTTGTGTCAAAAATTAACTGGACGGTGCGCGGCGTGGCAGAACTTTTGAAGACGTGATAGCTTCCTGAGCTTATAGGTACCCATCTTTGCAGGTAAGCGACTCGGTACCAACCTGCTTCATTTACGATATACCTAGATCTAGATAAACTTATTTTATACTTCGATTTAGGTATAGATTTAGGTCAATCTCAATTCTTAATTGTGCTACGATTACCTACTGGTTGGTTACAAAAGTAGCAATAAGTAAAAACAAGATCTTGGTTGAAGTGAACAATTTTTTTTCAGTGTAAGGTGACCCTTTATTTTTGCTGGCGAGTGTGGATAAAACGCACACACTGTCTCAGAAATTTTATGCATGTAATTAGGTCTAGATATCTAGAAAGCCTTGGCGTAATGCATGACGACCTTGACTCCCATGTACATTGTAATACAAGTAAGCAGGGGACGCTAAATGCGATTGCCCTAGACGGCTGTGGGAGCGGATTTATCGCGTACACATGTGTGAAGAAATCTGCCCGCAAAGTACGCACGAAACGACTTGATGGCTAGATCATCGCTGGGCCTCGTTCTCAGATACAATGCTCCGACGACTCAGAACAATGAAATCTTCGAGGTGAGCTCTCCGAGCCGGTTCTACGTCAGGGTATTCAGTCAGGATCATTGATAACTTCTTTATTGAACACTGCGTCCTCTTCGTTAACAAAAGCGTTCTTCTGTAGGCGGACGATTGCCGTCATCGTTGACATACCCAGAGCTTTGAGTTCCAACACCCCGGAGTAAAACAAGTAGGTACGAGCGCCCGGCCGGATTGTCCAACAAAACACTCTCCATAATGATACAGTAAAGTGAAATTGCCCGTGTTGTCGTTTCGTTGCCTGCTGCAGGAGAGAATTATGCTCGTTTAGTTTTAATCTTAGGGCGTAAGTCTTACAGTTTTAATCTGCCTGAGCTCACAGCTCAGTTGTTCATTCGTTCCAAATGGCAGCGAACTAGACAGTCTATTGTGTGTCTCGTACTACTTCTTAAATTGCCAGTATACAGTGCAACCTTTATATAATGTACCTCAATATAACGACTTCCTTGAATTAACAAATTCTTCGTTATCCTCTTGAATTTTCTTTAAAAGTCAATGTTTAATATACTTTTACATTGCGAGCATTTTTTGCGAACAACCTCTTTATCACAAAATTTTAACTATAAAAAAAGTTTAAATACCTCTAATTAACGATTTTTGTCAACCACAAACCTCTATATAACGTTTCCATTAATATATGGCCCTCAATCCCATATTACGTGATTCATATCACGACAGGAAACTATTTTTTTACCTCTTTAAAACAAATTTTAGACCAACCTAACCTCAATATAACAAACCCCCACCCGGTGGCGTTGGAACCGCTATGTCCCTGCATTTTAAATCTGTAATATCTTCGAAAATATTCATTTAAATTACATGATTTAAAGGGATAAATTCATCTCTATTAGATGCACAATGTATTTAAGGTACTTAATTAGATAAGGATGAATGTATTATTGCTGAAAAATGTAAAATGCAAATAAGCTATTATTTCAATAGTATAGGATAAAAAATGGTTATTGTGGGTTATCCCTAAGAGATAGACATATACCATTGCAGACTTTTTTGTAGACCTTCCTAAAGTGTACAATACTGTAGTACATTATTTTGATCTATTTCGTAGGGTTCAGCCAGCGTTTGCAATGTCAGCGCAAAAAATGTGTTTATTTACGACCTTTCATTAAAAACCTCTAAAATTATCAGTGTTTCTCTACTATATTATGTATGTATTACACATATAAACCTTCCTCTTGACTCTATCTATTAAAAAAATCGAGCGAGCCTTACAGTAGTCGCGTATGATGTGTAACATTTGAAACCTTACATTAACCCCTGCAAAACCTTCACTGCCCTTCCTCTTCGACTTAACCATGGTCATAAATACTTAGCAAATTACGATAGGCAATAAAGAATAAAAATATGTGCGGTAAATAAATTAAAGGTAAAATATTTTATGTGAATGCTATTGGATCTTTAACAGAATGTATATAGTAGGCAATCTTAACGGTTTTAATAAAAAAAGAAATTTAATAAAACCTACTACAAAACGAAAAAGCCATTTGAACATTAAGTTCTAAAATTTAATCAAATAGTGCGCGCTTTCGCGACTTCCTGTTACACACTTCCGTCCCATTTCACAAAATCACTCCTACAAATTGCAGGAAAGCGAGAGGAAAAATGTTACACATCAAAAAACCGCATCAAAATCCGGTGCGTAGTTTTAAAGATCTAAGCATACATAGAGACAGACATGGGGAAGCGACTTTGCTTTATACTATAGGCTTGTTGAAAATATATCGATGTATCGATATATCGATATTTTTTGTTCGATATATCGATATTTTTTGCCGATATATTTTGATTCGATATATCGATACATCGATACAAAATAACCAATATCGAAATTCGTATTAAAAACGATATTTTTTTAATTATTAGCGGCATATCACAATCTAACTAAATTTGTATCTGGAAAAATCGTAACTGGATTTCAGATTAATGATATTCAACATATCTCTGATCTGTGCTGTATTTAGTATTGTCTATTATTTCTAAATCTGTTTCGCTGCTGAATTGGTTGTGCCGATTTTCATTATATTCTGTAGAAGAGTGTGAAGGTCTAGTCTTGTTTACGAAATATGGCAGCTGAGAGGCCCTGCAATCATTTTCATCATTCGAAAATAGGGTCTATTTTTAGGGAGATAATTTTCGTTCCATTATTATTCCGCGTGTCATATTTCGTGTGATACTGTACTGTCATGTAGTTAGTTAGTTAATTTCGTACTTTGATAATTCTTTCTTTAATTATAATTTGTATTGAACTATTATTATTACTGTGCTAGGCTGAATTAAATATATTTTTGGGAAAATTGGTCCGATATATCGATATATCGATGTTTTTTTCGCGATATATCGAAGCCGATATTGATATTTTTTAAAATATCGATGTATCGATATATCGATATTTTTTTCAACTTTCGACATCCCTATTAAACTATGTAATGATAACAAATAAGTATGTACTTGTTCCATTCCGATTTGTTAGATGAAGGTTGCACTGTAATAGAGTTCCTCATGCAGACTTCTGATAATGTGTGCTGCACCACGTGAATTTTATATTCTGCTTTCTTCAAAAATTACTGTTATTTTCTGAGATAAAATGTATTGGTATTAAAGAAATTTGTAACTATGCTAAACTCGATTCTAGATAAATATAGTTAACAGCACAGTGAACTTAAAAATTCGGTCTTATATTAAGTTGAAACAACGTTCAAATCAAAATGTTACTTAGTAATATGATGTAATACAATATGATGTAAGCATTTAAATAAAGTTCAAAGGTTCAAAAATATGTCTATTTCATAATACCTATGTGAGCAAATTAGCTAATCCTTGAACTTGGGCAGTAGGTAAGTAAGTACCTATACCTACAGAAAGACCGCATGCGATACGACTGTTTATCGTAATGATTTTACTTTATAATTATTATGTATTATAATATAACAAAAGCTTGGCTCTACATGAGATCTGATAACTTTTTGACAGTGCGAGTCATATGGTCTCGTCTTGGCAACATTTTGCAATAAAATGTTTTTGTTGGGATCTATTACACACTAACATTATTATATACTAACATTATAAAGCTAAAGAGTATGTTTGGTTAAACGTGCGAATCTCATATTCCTTTTGAAAATTTCCGTTGCGACCTTGTAATCTATAAGGTATAGGTAGCTATACTTATGCAGATTTTTATAACTCAACTTACATAAATAGGAAGTCATTTGACTTGAGCCCCGCCTCTTATGACAGCTCAACACGCGAAGTAATAGATAACCATCTTTCCACAAAATGAGCCTAGAGGCGAAACGGGCACATACATGCAGTTGATATCTCCAAATCCTCAATATGTTCACAGTATATCCTTACATCCCTTTCTTTCCACTTGAGTGTGAACAGGCGAAAAGGTTTGCTTTTCTTGTGTACCCATTGATAAGCAGCAGACATTTAACTCCCCTTAGGCAGAGAATTTATTGTATTGGATGTTATCCAGGGACTCATGTCCCATAATCTTATCCATGCAACAGATTTGTTCCCTGATTTGTAGCGGATATTATAGGAATTATTTTCTTTTTTAATAAAGAATACTCAGAATGTTTATTTTTACGGCATAAGTAGAAAGGAACATGAGGCAAATAGAAAGCTTTTAGTTTTGAGGACGACTCAAAACGAATTCAATTATTCTGTTAAATAACAGAGGAATAAAATAAAAAGAAAGATGGAGGATCATATACGAATGAGAATGTCTTCATGGTTTCAAATTGCATTTGTTTTCATATATTTTTTTTGTATATACGGTAATATTGGCCAAAGGATTCTTTCAACAAGCGCCTTAACAGACAATTAGCAAAAGCGAATAATACAACTTTGCCTAGAGCAAGATAGCGAGGCACTAGTATCAAAAAAAAAATATACTGAAAATCTTATTTTTCCACACTCATAGGCGCGATAAACCATGTGTTTAAAAATATATTATCGAAAATATGTACAACCCCTCTAACATGACCACCGAAACGGGATATGATAAAGCGATATATCGGCATTAACTGTCAGACTACAGTGGAGTTTGACAGTAGTCTGACAGTTAATGCCGATAATATCGCTTTATCATATCTCGTTTCGGTGGTCATGCTAGAGGGCTGGAGTAAGTTTAATAAAGTTTACATAAAAAGTAGTAAAGTGAAAATTGACTGAAAAGTAAAAAAATAATTGTAATTCTTTGCAGTATCAGAAATTGCTTGTCAACTAGAATTAAATACCTTATCCTATCGTAACTCATGGTATACCTACTTATTATACTTAGTAGGGGAGCCCAAGCAGGGATATTGGCATTTATTCGAGCGCGGCAGAATAACTTAAGGGGCAACGTTGTATCTTGTAAAGTACTCCCACCATACCTTAGACCTTTTTTATATCGTGTCGTCGATTAAAGTAAGGTAAGTTATTTACATGCAGAAAAGTGTGTATTTCAATAATCCTACAATTTGAGCGTGACATAAGGAAATGGGATAGTCTTTTATGTGTAGAGAAACAGCTAAAGTTATTTTGTTTTTAAAATATTATTTTGAATATCGCCAGTCAAACAACCAAGATTGTGCATCGTGCTTGTTATCCCTTAATCAATGAAATTTGATATTGGATAAACAAGGTCTGCAGTTGGAAGGATTGTTTTGGATGGCATTTTGGTTTAAAAAATGCCAATAAAAATCGGATAGTGGTTACTGCTTAGGAAATCATCGTGAATATAAAATGCACAACTTGAACTCACCGCAGACGATGTAAAACCTAAGTCCAAAACATTACCATTCTAATTATGTGGAGCAAATGTTTTAACTGTGTTGTCATTCAGGAAAATAAGGTTTTGATCATCTGCAAAGCAATGTATAACAGTACCTCTTCTGTCAATGAATCTAGAGCCCCAGGAAGTGTGGTGGGGGTTGAAGTCACCAATTATTAAGTAATTTCTGTGAATAAGCATTTGTTAATTGAATTTCCCATTGGGTGGGAGTAGAATATATACACAGAGGACATCAATATAGATTGAAACTAGTTTATTGGAAATCAGTATATTTCGAAAGTGATAAGTAGAAGGAGAGTCAATAATTTTTATAATCATATTTTATAGGTACCTACTGCAATGCGTCCATGAGGACGATCTGAATCACGTCAAAAAATACCTTATAACCTGGTAACTTAAACATTTTTGTGTAACTTAACCGAGTTTCATTGAAAATAATTAGGTCAATACTAGAGGAATAACTTGTAATAAAATGTTTCAATTGATCTAATTTGTGTACAATACTACGGCAATTCCAATGCAGAATGTTTAATTGTTTCACATTAGTATTATTACTGTCTATAAAATGATGTAAAATTATTAATTATTATTAGCATTTCTATTGTGAGTTCAGATGAGACAGTAATATATGAATGAGAGCCCTTTCTACTTACACCAATTTCTACATGTGTTTTTATTAGTACCTTTAAAACTCCATCAGAATTAATAATGTCTATAATAATATATCTTTTACGGGGAATATTAAGCAAATTTATTAGGGTTATTATATTTTTTAGAGGTTGTGGGAGAATCATCCGGTCTTGAGGAAGGGAAAATTGATGGCGATGGTTTTACCTTGGCAGCCACAGTAGGATAACTAAGTTTATCATTAATGTTTGCTTAAGGAATAAAGACACTCGAGTTAATCCTTATTTAGCATTGTGGGCCCCTACTATTATTAATTAGTCCTGGTAGCCATTTGTGGTATTCGTCATTCATCAGATGTCGCTTTCCGAGAGTACATGGGCGAGTTACTCCTAAACATATCCAAATCACAATAGAAGTCTATAATTTTTGAAGAGTTCCCTTGATTTCTCTAGGAAACCAGCACCAGATATTGACCTCATGACTATGAGACAAACTAGGAAGCATATCTTTTTAAACAAAAAAAAAGAATTTTCCCAATCGGTCCAGCCGTCAAAACCGGACATCGCTAATTTATACTGAATATTATTCAGTAATATGAGTTCTCTGATTATAAATACAGTTCAACACCCTTAACAAGTTGTGATGAAGCTATCAAAAATATTTTTTTTAGTTTTTCCAAAAAAGTCGCCCCCGGGTGGGCTCGAACCACCAACCTTTCGGTTAACAGCCGAACGCGCTAGCCAATTGCGCCACGGAGGCAGACGCACGTAGTTGCGAAATATAGTAATACATTAACCGCGAAAATAAATATATAAACATGTATGTATGGATAGGTAAGTATGCAGAATAGTGTGAGAATTTTCTTGTGTTAAAAACATTAATTCAATCATGCACTTGTCACGACTCATTTTTGATAAAAACTGGCGGATGTAAATAAAATTAGAAAATAAAACATTAAATGTTCGTTTTAAATATGAGCTGTAGTCAAATGTCGGCCGGAATTCGGTTAAATTTCGCGTTCTTTCTTTTGCTCCATTGAGCAAAAAATTTATTTATTAATAAATTTTGAAAGCGTTGTTAACAATTATTATATATATTTTCATTTTGTTACAATAAAAAACCCGAAACGTCAAAGTATCACTATCTCTAATAAATTAATAAGTTACCAAAATGAAATAATGTAATGTTACCTTGCTGATAGATAATATAACAATTAAATTGATAATTTTTTAAAGTATTATTTTTTCTTCTCTAGGGAAATAAAAACAAACACGAATAATATTCAAATTCTACCCACTTGCTTACAAATCGTCATTTGATCAAGATTTCATTTTAAAATAATTACAATTCTTTTATTTTTTTTTCATTTCCTAATTAAATTATTTTAAGCGAATTTAGGTTATAACCGAAATTCGGCCGAAGACGAAGTTCGGTAAAAGCTGCCGATCTTCGGGTAATACCGAATGTATAATAAATAAAACGAATGTATAATAAATCGGTGCATTTTTAATTTTTATTTCAACAAAGAGGTTTTGTATGCTGCAGTCAGCAGTTTCACATACATTTTACACAGCACCTTTACAATATTGTAAGGATTTTCTATTAGTTTTCAGTGCCATAATCATTACATTACCAGAAAATTAACTGTTTTGATGGTGCAATACGATAAACAAAAGTACAGTCGGACCACGATAAGTCTGCAGTAGACTGACAGTAACAAAAATTAAAACTTTTCACATGGCAGTACTGAGTATAGTTGAATTAACTTTATTATTAACCGACTTAAAAAGGAGGCGGTTCCTAATTATGTATTTACATATATATAGCAATTGTTGTACGCACATTTATGCGCTGATTTCGATGATTCAGTTTTAGGGTTCCGTACTCAAAGGGTAAAAACGAAGCCTGAAACCAAGATGAGATTATTGCTGTCATTCTATCTGTCTGTCCGTATGCCACGAGTCTATAGATCGTAAACGTAATAAGTTACAGAACAAAGCCAAATTTTAAGTTCAAAATTCAATTTCATTATTTTTAATGGGGGGTCTCACACACGTGATACGTCATTGTCTAGGGCTCGTTGAGTAGGATATGAATCTTGTTACGTATCGGGATGGGGTTCGAAATTATAATGCCAATTCACACTTGCGAGTTCAACTCAACTGTCCCTGCCCGAAGCCAAGCGCCCTTAGAAAAGGGTAGTCGTGAAAGTTGTCATTTTTAAAAAGATTTGCAACGTGGTCTATCTTAAAATCGAAACTATACTTCGACTTTTTATTAGCTGCAGTAAAATGACGTTTCAAAATGTCATTCCGTAAAATAATGTTGACCGCCTAATTTCAATAGGGATGTGATTAGGTTCACAGAAAATCTACTCAAATAACTAACTCATAATCATCATACCTAATTCTGTTTATTATTCATATAAATAAAAGGCTGTATAAAATCTCAAGTTGGTACTGGTTTTTAGTTACGGTGCTACGATGAGGCTTGTCCGCCATTTGATTTCATTTGTCATTGGGCTTCTAACTTCTGTTTTGAGTGCACGAATAACTTTACTTTGCCCACTGCGAGTTGTTTTAGTTATCATTATTGTTAAATTTTTGTTACGTTATGTTTGTTTTTCGTTACCTACTTTTTCTTAATCGTGTCAGCTTTTTTTTGTTTGTTACATCAAAGACTGGATGCTCAGTTGAGCATATCACAAGATGGAGATACATGTCTTTCTCCTAAGAAAAAAAGGCCACGTGTAGCTAGCTCTAAGTGCAACCGAGAAACTTTGGGTCAGAAACGTTTACAAATATGTGTTTGAAGTGAAATCTACAGAATCAAATATTGAAGTTTCAAAAACAAGTGAATGCGTCAACAAGGTGGCTGAAGTCTTGGGAATATCCGTCCGCACTGTTTATTTTGTTTTAAAGGAGCATAATGAGAACGACTGCAAATCACCAAAACCTCCCGGAAAACCTGGCCCACAACTTACATTTAAAGAAAAACTTGATGATTTCACATTCACCGCTATTTAAATTTAAGAATATCTGAATTCAGATATTTTAATTAACAATTGCCCGTTATACACATGTCCGGAAATTTGAATCATTATTGTAATCATATCGACATTATAAAAGTGTACTATGTTTCTAGGAATGGTTGGAGTCACAAGGAATCGAAGTGTCACAGCCTGAAGATTTGCCCGTGGACGCCTACACAGAAAAGGAGCGTTGGAAAAATGTAGCGCCCCCAAAGAAGGTCAAAAGCCACGACGACCCATTGCTTCGCTTCCTTCAGTATGACGGAAAAGTGCTCGCGTAAGTATAATAATTCAGAAATTAAATGCACAAAAGGTTCTATATCACAAAAGGACCTACTCTCACATAGGGTAAAGGACGGGGTAAGGTGGGCAACGCAACGACGCAAATAATACTTTAGTACTGCAAGCGTCTATATAGACCTATGGCCGTATATAGAAAGACCTGCCTACCAGCGCTTATAAGAATCGGTTCGCGCAGGTAACCGGCGCAGGCATTTCTATGGACCAGCGCCGATAGACGATGAACGTCGCCGACAAGTTCCGACAATCTTCGACACGCGCTGGTCAACGCTGGCACCGCCCTTTGAAATTAATGAACAACTACGCTTCAATCTGCTGCCTTTATGTAACTGTTACCAGTAAGGACCAGCGCTGACAAGCGTTCTGTCCGATATGTTTTAATTTATTTGTGTGTCATAGTCATAGTCATAATATTTATTGCTTCATGTTGGTTACATTTAGTTCTTAAATTTAATAACAGCTCGCAAACATGAGCCCTGCAAGGGCATTGCAAATTATAATAAATGTGTACAAATATTAATTTAAAATTTGATAAAATTACAATAGGATAACAATTTAAGATAGATAGAAAATTTAAATAAGTTAATAAAAAAAAAACAATTCATATAATACTTAAAGCAATTATAAAATACATTTAGGGTTAGGTCAAGAGATGTATGTCAATCAAATCAAAAAATAAATAAACAAGTAACAATAACATTCAAAGTAATAATCCATTCAAAATTCATTCACTTAATATTCATTATAATTTAGTTTAATAATTTCGGTTTAGGTCAACAAATTTACGTCATAAAAAAATCAAATCAATTAGTCAAACATCATTAAATCTGGTTTGTTAATATTGTTACTTATTTAGCATGTTTGAAATTATGTAAGGGTCAGTTATATTGCTTGTTTCCGTTTTTAAACCTATATTCTTGTGGCATTGCTTCTTTATTTTATTTGTACGTTGTTTAATTATTTGCCACATAGATGTCGTTACGTTTTTTGAATATTTTTTTTTTAATATATAAGTTCTTTTTTGATGTTATTACTATATTCTTTAATAGTTTTACATATTTATTGTAATAATCGTTAAGTAATGGATTATTTGTCTGAGATTTTAATATATGTAGTAATCGTTTATGTTTACAAGATGTTATAATGCCTTTAGTTAGCCACAGTTTTTTATTAATATTATTTATTTTTACTAGTTTTTTTTGGAATGCACTTGTTTAATAAACATGTTAATAAGTCGTGAAAAGAACTGTAATTTTGATTGATACTTTTTTTATGTGATAATATTTGATCCCAATTAATAGCCTGCAATTGTTTTTTAAACAATGCAGTGTTATGCAGGTTAAAAATTCTTTTCTTTATATAGTACGCAGTTGAATTTTGTTTTATTTGGGGTTTTTGAAAGTCAATTATTGTACCTTTGTGGTCAGAAATTCCGTATTCTTTTACTTCCACAGTTGTGTTTGTCATATCAAAGTTGGTAAAAATTGGATCCAAACAGGTAGAGCTAGTAGGAGTTACTCTCGTATGCTCCTTAACATATTAATGATCAAACTTTTAAATAAATTGATGTACATTTTACTTTGACTGGAATCACTTAAGAAGTTTATGTTTAAATCTCCTCCTATTATTATATGTTTTTTTATTGTATTTAGTCGTTAATAATTTAAGTACTTTTCCTATTTGTTCATTTACTATAATTGTTTCTCTTTTACTCTCTGGCCAGTACATAACAACAAGTATTCAAATTAAATGTGGTATTTGAACAGCACATATTTCAATTATATATTCCAATGAAAAACTATTTAAATCCTCGCATTCATAATATTCAATATGGTCTTTTACAAATATACATACGCCGCCCCCTTCTCGGTGTTCTCTAGAGAATCTACTCGCTAGATTATATCCTTCTACAACCAGCAAGTCAGTTTTACATGGCGAGATCCAGGTTTCCGAAAAGCATAAAGCAGCAAAATTATAATCTTCCACTAGGTCTTCCATTATGTGTAACTTGTTTTTATTGCTTCTCACATTTTGTCTTGAGTGGTGTATTACAATAAAGAATATTATTATTAGTGTGATTTGGTGTGGCACCCCGCAATGACGCACAGTGTTGCTCCAGAGTAAATCAGCCTTAATGTCATCCAAACCGCCCGACAATCTCAAGTCAAATTGTTAACTCAGGTAACTCGACTCCCACCGGAAACATGCAAGTTTCACTTTAATGTCTCGTAGACGTCAATTTGAGCGTCCGTGTTTATCGAATGTTCCGTTTCAATTAACGGCCAGTTTCATTCATAATCAACGTCTAGTAAAAGGTACGGATAATCTGGTTTCGTTGCTTAGCATCAGTTGTTATTATAGTCTTAATAAATAAAATATCTTGACGACGTAGCTCTTAGTACGCCTACTCCTTACTGGAATTTGATTATTGAAGCTTGCCGTAAATCAGTTTCTATTTAATAACGAAATACGACGGATTAGGGTAGATCGACAAAATAAACAACTCAAAAATTATGTAACTGCTTAATAAACAAAAAAAGCACACAATTAGCAAAAAAAGTAAACGAAAATAAATAAGAACTCATCTCAAAATAAAAAAAGAAGAAAACTAACCAAATGTAAACAAAATTAATTAAAAAGAATCTAATCACGATTTAAATAAAAGTATCTCATAAATCATTTTTAGCCGAAGATCTGTTTGATTATTTTATTTATTGGTTCTCATGTTTTTATTCTTTATTAATTTGTTTCCGCATTCAAAAGTTTATTTCACTTCATTACATGTTTTTTGGTATTTTATCGCTTAAAGTTCATTCATCAGGCTAGATGATTAAATGAAAACGTCGCATCAGATACCGAATAATTTCAAGTAGATTTAGGTTAGTGAACATCCCGACCTTTACTTATGAACTTTCTTTTAAATGCTTAAATACGTACAAATAACCTTTGGAAATGCGTGACGTGAGCTGTCGATTGTAAAAGAAGGCTTAACCTATTTTATCTGAAAATTAATTTTCTGCATATTTTGTGTCGTAATTTTTCCGACATTTAATCTTAGATCAAAACAAAAAGGGTAGATACGGTAAGCTCATACTAGCATCAAATAAAATATGATCCGACTCAACTACATAAGCAACTCTCGCCACGCACACGTCTGTATATAAACATCAATCGAGCAAGCGAAACAGAACAGAACAGATTACGTAAATAATATTCACGACAAACCGTGATTTTTGAGAAAAAAATGTTTTCACAGTATTACTAATGAAAAGTGTTGCCGGGGCATTTGATTTTGAACTATTTGTGTTCTTTATAAAAACATCGCAAGCATTGTTATATCTTCATAACACAGAATATACGCAATATTGTTATATTAAGTGTACATGCAGCGTGTTTGAATGTCAAATTGTGACTAAAGCGAATTATGGTCGTGGACCACAATTTAAGCGGATCATCATCTTTTGAGCCGCGAATGCCGTATCTTCCCTTTTTGTTTTAATCTAAGTATTTAATACATATTTATTCTGATATTCGTCACCGACGAATCCAAAAAATCAGTGCTCATTAAAATAGGCCCAGCTGTTCTTCAGTTATAAGTGTTCTTACTAACACGACTTTTTTTTAATTTATTTATATATTTTTTCCTCTTTCCCCTGTCCTCACTTTTTTTTGATATTTTTGTGAGGCTGATTTTTGTAAGAACAAACGGCTAAATTATTCGAGCCGTTGTAAAGTCATGAACCTCGATATCCATTTATTGTCAACAGATTCTCAACTTTGCACATTATGTGGTGAGGCTGTTATGGGCATTAATAGAAATGAAATTCTTAGAGTATAATTGTGTCATTATATGGTAAAAACTAGCAATATTGACTCTATCCGGGCTGACTATTAGCAGTCACCGTACTAACCGTTGATTAGATTTGCGCCGCTAGTGATTTAATTATTCGCAACATTTACAAGCAGCCTGCTCGAGTCACATTTTTTTGATTCGTATTCATCCCGAATAGCAGAATAACTAACAAATATAGGAAAGGTAACAGAAAAAAATATGCAAAAAATAATTTTCTCATAAATTAAGTTTGTTAATCCGCCACCTTAAGCAATTGACAGCCCACATCACGCATGCGTAAAGCTTATTTTGTTTTTGTATTATTACTCGTAAAATTTACTAGCAATGGTAATGCTAATCAGTGATACTTAATTAATAGAAATCTGACAAAAAATTGTGTGAAAAAAGCATATGCAAATCTAGAGATACATTAAAATTAAGCTGAAAAATATCACAAATGTACACATCAGTAAGACGATGATGGATGTCAATCACAATCAATGAATAGTTATGGTAAGTATTAATATTAGTTTTTATTTCAACATGACATAAATCTATGTTCGTTTGAATTGCTGTGTTTGAAGAATATAGGGAGAAAAACCTGGCAACCAATTAAACCCCTTTTACCTAAGCTTAAGTACCCTTAGAGGATTTAGTCACCCCATGGCTCTGTCCCTTCCTCACTCTCCCTCAGGAAATACGGACGTGAATTTTCCATTTCAAAAAACTATTTTTTACCGTCTTTATTTCAGGTGAAGGTTAGCTCTATCTATAAATTATCACGCATAATAATTGTTTGATAATTCGTCACAACCCAATATTACGTCGAAATGTACATCAAAATTGAAACGGAACGCTAACTTTCAATTCGGTTTAACCAAGCCAGACTGAGTTTGAAGAGTAAAATATTCATTTAGGGGAGATGCGGCTAATGGTGGTCGATTGTCTTTTCTACCAACAATTCATGTAGTGTAACGATGGTAATCTTAATCTAAGCGGTACGAAGTTTGCCGGATCAACTAGTATACAATAAAGAAACACGGCTGACAAAAAACGAACTGAAAAGTAAAAAGAAATCAGATACGGCGTTAAAGTTACAGCGACAACTTCAATCAAACTCAAAAGATAATAATTTGACGTCTCTG